TGACAGAAGTCATCTCAAACCAGAGTACAATGTCTTCCTAGATAGTAATTTCCTGACAATGGGGTTTCAGACCTTAAAATCATAAATTCTTTTTGGAAAAGAAATTCCATACAGATATATCTTATGACAGCTTCTTGCCAGACTAATAAATTTCAGCTTGGCCACTAATGCATATGAGCCTTTACGGAATTATTTCCCTGCATTCACTAGAGAAAGTTAAGAGTCATCCTCTTAGAGTCTTATTCCCTTAAAAAAATTCTTGGTTTTCTTTCTAATCAGATAGGCTGACTTCTCTTGGTTCTTGGTGCCTAACATTTAGCAAATACTCCAGTTAACTGGGTTTGATTCATTTTTGACCAATCCAAAGCGTTTCTCAATTCTGGTAGGAGAATTGTGAAATTATTGGGGCTGGAAGAAAATTAGTAGGCACCTAGTTGTAATTAAAATCAGTATGCAAATCCAAAATGTTTATTTTATTTTTTTGTCCATTTAGCAGAGTGAACAAGCAGTACATTGATATATATTGAAGAATAGAAGCCACCTTTTTATTTCTTGAATGAAGCTTCTGGCTGTATTTGCTTGTGTCCTGAATTAAAGTTGGCAGTCTTGTTGGACTTTAGACATGAAGCGCTTTACACTAAAATTGTTTATGTTCTTGTCTTTCCATCATTAATGTATTTTTCCAGTGACAGAATATGTGGGATAGTTGTGGCTAAGTATAGCATGTGATCCCAGTGTGAAACGTTTTATTGAGGCCATTTAAAGTGATTACTTTCCGAGTAAGTTGAATGATGACAAAAGATGGAATGCTCATTTGTGACATTTCCATTTATCAGATTTAATTAAAATAAGCACATGATATTAAGCATTTCTCTTCCATTTACTTTTTGACTATCATGTGTCATTTTATATTTGAGGAAAAGGTTTTTTTTTCCTAGATTATTTGTTCATATTTGGTATCATATTTTAAATATATAGGGAATGAGATGTTAAAAAACTGAAGCTTCTCAATGCCAAATATTTTTCAAATAAGTATTTTATGTACAGATATTTTTAAAGAGCGTTTAGTTTTCCATCCTTGATTAAAGACTTGTTGTTATGTGCCGTGGAGTCAGTTCCGTCTCAAAGTGACCCTGTACAGGGTTTCTGAGGCTGTAAATCTCTACAGGAGCAGAAAACCTCATCTTTCTCCCATGGAACAGCTGGTAGTTTCGAAGTGATGACCCTGAGGTTAGCAGCCTGATTCGTAATCACTACGCTACCAGAGCTCCTCTGACTCATAGCAACAGAGTAGAATAGGGATTCCAAGGAATGGCTGATTCCAAGGAACTGTTGACCTTGCAGCTCAAATCGACCTTGTGGCCCAATGCTTATCCTACAGTGTTACAACAGAACTTACTATGAGTATTACTAACCAGCAGTTTTCTTTGACAACTTACAGTCTCCATTGAGAATCTTGTGTGATGAGGCCAAAAGCTCTTTGCCCATACTTCAAAAGGCACTGCCAGATTAGATGAAAATTTTGAATTCTTAAATCTATTGTGTGTTTAAAAGTTTTCTTTGTCTTAGAGTTGAAGTTATCACTTAAAACTGTCAAGGAGCTCTTTCTTCCACCTTCTAATTTGCTTTTTCATATATGCTGTAGACTTTAAACCTCACCAAAAGTGTTTGTTTTAATTATGAAAACAAGAATAAATAGGTATCAAGCGAGTGCCTCAGATACTCCCATGAGAGAAGTCCATGACTTTTATTTTGCTGATATGTTGTTTGTCAGACATCTTTGTGTTGTATAATTCCTGGTTCTCCCAAATCTTCTGGCAAGGGAGACTACCAGGTAGGTATGTTCTATGATAAAGTAATATTGTGGTCTAATAGTGAAATCTTATTTTTGTATATAAGTGACTATTTCTTTAATTTGATGGAACAAATATTTTTTATTTCAATTTGACCAAAGTAGTTTGAGAAAATCCTTGTTACTTTGCATGTTAATATTTTGCATGTTGGGGTTTTGATTAAGTCTTGGTATTATGATCATACAGGTATTTTAAATGGTGCTTATTTATATATAATCAAAAAATTAAGAACAAATTTTGAAATACATATTTTTTTTTTTAATGAAAGGCTGAAAAACAGTCAGCTAAACTACAGTGTGAACGTTTGGAAAAAGAGCTACAATCAAGCAATGAACAAAATACTTTTTTAATCAGTAAATTGCATAAAGCTGAACGAGAAGTGAATATATTGACCAGTAAAGTAAGTCATCTTATCCTTCTGCTTCATTCTTGATACAATAGAATGATAAAGAAATTTTGTGTTACATAGATTAGTTCTCTATTTTAGAATTGTTTTTATCCTATCATACTCCCTTCCAAATATATATAGAATTTGACGAATTCTTACCACCTCCCCTGTGACTGACCACTCTCACGTCCTGGTATGGTGCTATAGGGTAAGCACTGGACTGGAAAGGTCAATTGAACCACAAGGTTGGTGGTTTAAACTCACTAGCTTCCTCTCAAAAACTCTATACAGGGTCGCTATGAGTCAGAACCGACTCGACAGCACTTAACAACAACCACTGTGACCACTCTAGTTCAATCCGTGGTGTCTCTAGGCTCAGATACTACAATGGCTTCCTTATTGGTCATTCTACTCTCTACCTTTCTCTCTATAGAGGCTCTTTTTTATAGAGCAATAAAAGTGATCCTTTTAAAACCATTGTCAGATCATGTCATTCTTTTCTTCAAACTTTTCCAAAGAGTTTTCATCTTATACAGAATAAAAACAAAGGTTCCTACTATTCAGAGCTCTGTGTGATGGGCCATCACTGTTCATTTCCCCTGCCTTGATTCACTCCTGTATCACTGGCCTGCTCATTCTTCTTTGAGCAGCCTCACTTTTATCTCAGGGCCTTTGCACTCACTTGTCGGACATGGTCTTCCCGCAAAAATAACAATATCACTTGCTTTCTCACCTCCTTCAAATGTTGCCTTATCAGGAGACCTTCCTTGTCTTCATTTGATAAAAATAGCATCTTTTCTCTCCCTCTACCTCAGTCTCTATCATCCTAACCTGCTGTACTTTTCTTCAAAGCTACTAACACTGTCTGATATTATTTATGTACATGCTTCTTTGCTCTCTTTATCTCCTCAATCTCCCACCAAATGTTAGCACCAGGAGAACAAAGATATTGCTTTCGTAACTACTGTATATCTAGCTTCTACAACACCATTGTCATATAATAGGCAATATATGAATATTTGTTTAATGAATACGTTAATATCAATAGCATAATATTCATTTGTTATTTTTTAAAGTAGTATAATAATTTGAATGGTCCAGAAAGAGCTTCCTCTCCCCACCCCCCAGTAATGTGTAGGATTTTATCCCCTCAAATAGAGTATATGTAAGAAATCTACTATACAGAAATAGGATAGGTAGGGAGATAGATAGATGAATAGAGAGCTGCTATTGAGTTGACTCCCCACTCATAGTGAGCTTATGTCCTCAGTAATTAAATGTTGCTCTGTCTCGTGTTATCCTCTTGATCGCTGGCATGCTCAAGTCCATCTTCATGACTGTTGTGCCAGTCCATATCACTAAAGGGTTACCTCACTTTTGCTGATCCTTTGATTCTTTAAGCATGATGTTCTCCTACAAAGGAGCCCTGGTGGCACAATAGTTAATTGATTGGCTGCTAACGGAAAGTTTGCCAGATTGACCCCCCTCTGCTTTGAGGAAGAAAGATGAAGTTGGTCTGCCTCCATAAAGATGGAGACTGTAGAGTAGTTCTCCTGTGCCCTATAGGGTTCTAGGAGTCAGAATCGACTTGACTGGCAACAGCAACAACATTCTCCTCCAGTGATTGATCCCTGGTGATGACATGCCCACAGTGAGTGAGTGAGGCAGTATTCTGATACCTTCAGAAGGTTTTCAGTGGCTGATGATTGGAATTAGATTACAAGGCCTTTTGTCCTAGACTGTCTTAGTTGGAAGAGCCGCTAAAACCTGTCCAGCATGGGTAAACCTGCTATTTATTTGGAATGTGTTGTTGGTGTGGTTTGGTTCTGACTCATGTTGTTGTTGTTGTTGAGTCGGTACCGACCCATAGCGACCTTATGCACAGCAGAATGAAACACTGCCCGATCCTGGGCCAACCTCACAACTGTTGCCACGCTTGAGTCCATCGATACTGTCACTTGGCTAATCCTTCTCATTGGGGGTCTTCCTCTTTTTCTCTGACCTTACCAAACATGATATCCTTCTCCAGCAACTGGTCCCTCCTGACAATATGTCCAAAGTAGGAGAGACAAAGTTTGGTCACCTAGGCCTCCAAGGAGCACTTTGACTGCACTTCTTCCAAAATGGATCTATTGGTTCTTTTGGCAGCCCATGGCACTTTCAATATTCTCCTCCAACACCATAACTCAAAAGCATCAATTCTTCTATGGTCTTCCTTATTCACTATCCAACTTTGACATGCATATGAGGTTATTGAAAATACCATGGCTTGGGTCAGGCACACCTTAGTCCTCAAGCTGACATCTTTGCTCTTCAACACTTTAAAAAGGTCTTGTGCAGCAGATTTGCCTAATGCAATATATTGTTTGATTTCTTGAGTGTTGATAGTTGATCCAAGAAGAATGAAGTCCTTGACAACTTCAGTCTTTTCTCCATTGATGAGAATGTTATTTATTGGTCCAGTGGTGAGGATTTTTGTTTTCTTTACACTGAAATGTAATCCACACTGAAGGCTGTGCTCTTTGATCTTCATCAGTAAATGTTTTAAGTGCTCTTCACTTTCAGCACACAGGTTTGTATCATCTGCCTATTGCAGGTTGTTAATGACTCTTCTCCAGTCCTGATGCCATGTTTTTCTTCATATAACCCAGCTTCTCGAGATTACTTGCTCAGCATACAGGTTGAATAAGTATGGTGAAAGAATACAACCTTGTCACACACCTTTTTAAATTTTAAACCATTCAGTGTTCCCATGTTCTGTTTGAACAACTGCTTCTTGGTCCAGGTACAGATTCCTCATGAGCACAATTAAGTGTTCCGGAATACTCATACTTCACAATGTTGTCCATACATAGCTTGTCATGATCCACACAATCGAAAGCCTGTGCGTAGTCAATAAAGCACAGGTAAACATCTTTCTGATATTCTCTGCTTTCAGCCAAGATCCTTTGGACATCAGCAATGATATCCCTCATTCCACTTCCTCTTCTGAATCCGACTTGAACCTTTGGAAGTTCTCTGTCAATGTATGCTTGCAGCCGTTTCTGTATTACCTTTAGCACAACTTTAGTCGCATGTGATATCAAAGAGATTGTCCGATGATTTTCTCATTCCATTGGGTCACCTCTTTTTGGAATGAGTACAAATATGGATCTCTTCCAATCAGTCGGTCAGATAGTTGCCTTCCAAATTTCTTGGCAGAGATGAGTGAGTGCCTCCTGTGCCACCTCATTTTCTTAAAAGATTTCAATTTTTATTCCATCAATTCTTAGTGCCTTGTTCTTTGCCAATTCCTTCAATGTACCTTGGACTTCCTCCTTCAGGATCATTGACTCTTGATCATACGCTACCTCTTGAAACAATTGAACGTTAACCATTTCCTTTTGGTACAGTGACTCTGTATATTCCTTCTATTTTCTCTTGATGCATTCTGTATCATTCAAGAATTTGCCCAGTGAATCTTTCAATAATGAAAGTCGAGGCTTGAATTGTTTCTTCAGTTCCCCTAGCTTGAGAAATGCTGAGCATGTTCTTCCTTTTGGTTTTCTGATTCCAGATCTTTGCACATTTTGTTGTAATATTTGGCTTTATCTTCTTGAGCTGATCTTTGAAATTTTCTGTTCAGCTTTTGACTCAGCAACCCTCTATAGGGTTTCTAAGGAATGGCTGGTGGATTTGAACCACCGACCATGTAGTTAGCAATCCAGTGCTTATTCTATGGTGAATCCATCGACAGCACAGATTCTAGTATTATAGTAATACACAAACAAGGCTCTGTTGTTTGCACAACAAACTGATAGATGAGTAGTGAAGAAGTATTATAGCAATCTGAGTATTTTATAGACTACTGCTGTTATTGTTGTTGTGTGCCTTGGAGTCGGTTCCGACTCATAGCAACCCTTTACAGGGTTTCCATGGCTGTAAATCTTTACGGGAGCAGACACCCTCATCTTTCTCCTGCAGAACAGCTGGTAGTTTCGAACTGCTGACCTTGTCTGATATGTAACCATTACGCTACCAGAGCTCCTATAAACTACTGTATTGAATAAGAATGCCACGTTTTGATTTAGGCTAACTAGATTCAAATTTCAATTCTTCCTCTTTCTAGCTGTGTGACCTTAGGTAATTGACTTTCTCTCTAAATACTTTTAGTGTCTTCCACTAGAAGATGGCGCTAATTCATACTTTATACAGTTGCAGTGAAAATTGCATGAGATGTGAAAACATTAAACGTAAGGTGTAAATATACATATGTTGTTGCTGTGTGTCATCCAGTTTGTTCTAACTAATAATGACCCTGCATAGGGTTCAAATCCACCAGCCATTCGTAGTGATCCTGTATAAGGTTTCTGAGGTGCTGCTGGTGAGCTTGAACCGCTGACCTTGCGGTTCAAACTGACCTTACAGGCCAGCGCATTAACCTACAGCACCACAAAAATGCTACTTATGAAAAAGACTTTTTCAGCCTTCAATAGAGATGTCTCAAGAAGACTGAAAAATAGTATGTGATGGGTGCATTGTATGGAAAGTATTGAAATTATTCACATTTCCCAAAGGCTTAAAAGAACTCTCTGAGTGGGACAAATGGTTAATGTGCTTGGCTGCTAACTAAAAGGTGAGCTACTTGCATCTACTCAGAGGTGCCCAGAAGAAAGCCGTGGCCAGTCACTGAGAAAAAAAATCAGCCACTGGAAGCTGTGGAGCATTTGTTCTATGCTTTGACACATGGGTCACTAGAAGTCAGAATCAACAGAAACTGAAAGAAAAAGGGGGGTGGGAAGGGCAGAAGGGAGGGAAGTTTAAAAAGAATTGAGGTTTTGGCAGTAAAGGCTTAAGTTAGATTTATATTCTGCCTCCCTCATAACCTACCACCACCACCAACCCCTGCCCCAATCACATATATACATACACATAAATGACGGGACTTCAAAAAGTTCATGAAAAGTGGAATTAAATGATGATGGAAATTTTCCGTAAACTCTTTGAAGCTCCTCATAACATTATTAAATTCTGAATCAAATTCTATAGATTCTTCTTTCTTATAACTTTTATTAATCCCTTGTCTCATAACTAAGGAACCAACTCAACAGTACTTAACAACACCAACAATTTATCCATTTATTCAACAAATATTATTGTTAAATGCAGCTGAATTAGTTCTAACTCATAGCATAACCCTGTATAGGGTTTCCAAGGAGTGGCTGGTGGGTTTGAACTGCGTACTTTGCAGTTAATAGTCCAATGCTTCTCCTACAGCACCACACCAGGGCTCCCAATACAAATAGAAAGGTCACATAAACACATACTCTGACATATTAATGCATAAAATTATGGAATCAAAGTAAAAAACTACAAATACACATGAGTCATAGGTATAAAGTATGGTATGACAGGGATACGCGGGTAAAGGAAAAAATCCCAGAACTAAAGAGGGTAAGGATAAAAATATGAATGTGTCTAACAGGGAGAGACTGCATCTCTGAACATTCCTGAAAACTTTGCAGGATTAGTTGAATGTATATTTCTTACATAAAGGAAACAAACAGAAAAGTGAGCATTGTGCTGCTGTCACTGCTAACCACAAAAGACACTTCCCAAGTTAATGTGTAGATTAAAATGGCACTACATAAAATGGCTAACTTACGCTGACAAAGGTTTTGCATTTTTGTATCTCCTTTCCTTTCACAGAAAAGAACTTTTTCTTTTCTGTGAAAGCAGGCCTTATAAAACAATGTTTAGCTACATGAAAGCAACTAAGACATATTTTAACATTTAAACTTTCTGTAGATTGGTTTTTGCTAATTATAATTTCATAGACAGGAAGAATTTGGACTATAAGTGCTTTAAAAAAAACTTTCAGTGCAAGTTCAATGAAAATTCAATCTGTATGACAAATGTAATTATAACCTGCCATTATGCTAACTGTAAATGGTTAAAAATAACATAGCAGTTCATTAACAAACCACACTATAGTTGCTTTAAACATGAGGTGGAAAATTAGACTCATCTTATTTTGTAGAAAGTTGATTTATTTCATGGTAACTTCAAGCACAGCTACAAAATAAAAACCTATTTGCTATTCATTTCACTCTGAGATTTACTGAAACGAAAAAACATTTTTCAGCTAAATTACATTCATTAAAATTGAAAGAACACTGGACAGGAAGTCAGGAAACAAGTGAGATCTGACTTCCAAGCCTACTTTTGCTACCAAACAAATGGTAAATACAAGCTACTTGTCCTCTCTGCATTCAAATTACTCATGTATGGATATAAATAAGTCAGGTTTTTCTTTAGTTTCACATCTCTGCAATCCTGACAATTGAACATAGTTACACAAATTGTAAAGTAATTAATTTCCTAAAAATACCAAAATAATTGTTTTGTTGATTAAAAATGAAAAACTTATATAACAATTTATTATGCAGAAATGACCAATTAGTTGTGCTTTTCTATAAATTGTTGCTGCTGTTATTAAGTGCCATGAAGTTGGAGACTCCAACTGATATTGATTCTGTATAGGGTTTCCTAGGAATGGCTGGTGAGTTTGAACCAGCAACCTTGTAGTTCAAGTGTTTATCCTAAAATGCCACACCAGGACTCCCTTTCTATGAATAATATGGACGAACTGGTAGCATAGTGGTTATGAATCCGGCTGCTAACCTCAGGTCAGCACTTCGAAACTACCAGCTGTTCCACAGGAGAAAGATGAGACTTTCTGTGCCCATAAAGATTTACAGCCTTGGAAACCCTGTACAGAGTCGCTGTGAGTCAGAACTGACTCCCTGGCACATAACCACAACCACCAAATCACTGAATTGTGAACCACGATTGGCAGTTCAAATCCAACAGCTGCTCCTCGGAAACCCTATTCAGGGTTACTATGAGTCAAAATAAACTCTACAACACTTAACCGCAAGAAGAAGTACCTTCTAGACTTACTCTAGAAGTTCGTGCACTCGAGTTAGTTCCGTGCACTCAAGTTAGTTCTGACCCATAGCGACCCTGTATAGGGTTTCTGAGGAGCGACTGGTGAGCTTGAACTGCTGACCTTGCAATTCAAATGGCTTTACCATCTGGTGCATTAACGCACAGTGCCACACTAGGACTCCAGACTTATTCTAATTCCCATTATAATTTTTCTCATAATTAATAAATTGGTTTTTTGATTTTATAGGGCATTCTTTGTAAGCTTTAGGAAGAACAGCAATTTAGTATAGTATTATTTATTTCTCAGTGTTTATTAACAAATTATTAAGAGTTGCCTGCCATTTTAAAGGCATACTTGCATTATTTTGTATATAATTAAAGCTTTTAAAAACATCCTTCAACTCAGATTTTCCTTCGATATCTTGCAAGTAAAAAGATTTCTTTGGAATGATGAATTTAAAAATAGTTTTTGAAAAATTACTGTCAGTGTTCTTTGCAACTTGAATTTTTAGTCAACATTTTGCAATTCTAGCAAATGGTGGTTTGCATTGCAAAGGAACACCTGGGGAGTATTTGTCCAGGTTATTCAGATTTGTAAATATCTGGTTTTAGAACAAAGCTATGCCAGTGTTACTATCAATGTCTTGGGTTCAAAGGCATTACCAAAGATAGCCTGAAAATGACAATCTTTTACTTTCAGTGAGGTAAAATTCTTCTAGTTACCTTTTTTGATTTTGAGAATGCCAATAAAATAAACAGTTTTAAGGAGACATGCCACAGACTTATCCTTATTAGCTAATGAGGTCGTACCATTGCAAGACCTTTGAAAGAGACCCTATTTTATGTACTTATTCTTTGAAGTTTGCATCCAGATTCTTGGATACTATTTTTTTTTTTCAGTTACATTTCATTATATGCTTATATATATATATGTTTTCCTATGGGTGTTTAATCCAAAAGGTTCTGTCTGAGCCCTTATGAAAAGCTTAGTACCATCATTTTGGAGACCTGGTGTGGCTCTGTTAATGCACTGGACTGCAAGGTTGCCTTGAACCGCAGGTCGGTGGTTCAAACTGACCAGCTGCTCCTTGGAAACCATTTATAGCGTCACTATGAGTCAGAACAGACTCAAAGGCACTTAACAACAAACCATTATTTTACGGAGTCCTGGTGTGGCGTTGTGGATTAATGCGCTGGACTGCAAAGTCGGTTTGAACTGCAGTATTGGCGGTTTAAGGTTTAAGGTCACCATCTGCTCCTCGGAAACCCTATACAGAGTCTCTATGAGTCGAAACCAACTCAGTGGCACTTAACAATATCATTTTACATATTTATTAAAGTTTTATTAGAAGTTGTTGTTAAGTGTCCTTGGATCAGTTCTGATTCCTAGTGACCCTGTATAGAGTTTGTAGGTTTTTAAATCTGGAGCAGAAAACCTAACCTTTCTCCCATGGAGTGGCTGGCAGGCTGGAACTGAGGAACCACTGTGCTCCCTTAATCTCTGAATACTCACTGTCATTGTTTTCAAAATCAAAGTAAATGTAAAGGACAGAGTTTTCATGAAAAGCGTTTGTAAAAAGCAGGGTGCCTTGGTTCAAAGGAATTTCAGCAGACTAAATCTCTTGAAATTACGTACAACATTGTACCAGTCTCTGTTTTATTTAGGAAAAGGTCCTTTTACGTTACCTGTCATTTTTAAGAATTGATCACAAAGAACTAGGGGTTTAGAGGCAGAAAGAAATTTTTTATGTTCCCCTTATATACTCTTCTACTGCTTGTCTGAAAATTGGGTCAGAGCAGTTGGTAGTGGAAGCCAGGTACCATCTAATTGTTCTGGTCTCAGAGTCATGGATACTGATGTTTACAAGTTCCTTTCGTCCATTGGACTAATTGATTACAAGCCTTTTTAGTTTTCATCACTCATCTACCTTCTACACATAGAGAGACCAATAGCTGCAACTTAGATGGCCACTCATGAGCTTTCAAGATCGCTGACATTACCAAAGAAGGATGCACAACACTGTCTTTGTGGACTGTGTTAGGCTAAGTAACCAAGGTGTCCCCTGAGACTGTGGTCTTGAGCCTTCATGCCCAGCAACTCATTGCATTAATATCTTTGATAATATCTAAGAAGTTTTCATCAGTTTGCCCATTGTATACTCCCATCACATTTGAGATAACCTTTTAAGGCAAAATTAACACAGATGATCCCACCTAATTATTTGTAAAGAAATGACTGATTTTCATTAGGAATGACCTGTTTTCTTAGTTGTCATCTAGTGCCACAAAGCGTTGGAGGCACTGGTGCACCTCCTGTCCTGGCAGATGTTTGCACTCTATACTGTCATTTCCAATTATGCTTCAGGGTCTGAGCACTTAATAGTAAGAGAAAGACCAATAATAACTTCGATTTTTTATTAACAGGTGAAAGAACTTAAACATTCAAACAAACTGGAAATAACAGACATCAAGTTGGAGGCAGCAAGAGCTAAGAGTGAGCTAGAAAGAGAAAGGAATAAAATTCATAGTGAACTGGATGGTAATGTATTGTTTCCTGTGCAGTTTAGTATTAATTTTGGATATAAACTCTAAGTAAAATTATTAAAATAATCTGAATTTTTATTTCCAGATATTCTGCTCTATTAAATTTTAATTTTGAGAGTACATACATGTTTTGTTTATGTTAAATGTTAATTCTATGATCTAAGATTTTAAAAAAATCAATCATGTTTATGTCATAGTTATATGATTAATATATAGACTGAAACTGTAAAAATGAATCTCTATACTTCCTTGCTTTTGTTTTAAATCTATTTAAATCATATAGTTATTAGATTCTATCCACCATGATCAAGATATATACCATAAGAAAAATAGATGGTTTCCAGTCCTAACAATGAGGAAACAATACTTTAAATCTATTTAGATCATATAGTTACTATTTCCTATTCATCATGTTTAATATAAAGAACGTAAAGAAAATAGATGGGTTCCAGGCCTGCAAATAAGAAAGACTATCAAAGAATTGATGCATGGGAGTTATGCTGTTGGAGAAGACTATTGAAAGCACCATGGACTGACAGGAAAGTGAACAAATCTGTGTTGGAAAAACTGCAGCAAAAATCTTCCTTAGAAGACAGACTCGAGAGACTTCATCTCTCATACATCACACAAAATATTTTTATTTTGTTTATATGTTAAATTTTTTTATATGTTTAAAGAGCTGAACAGAAAAATGTCAAAGGGCAGATTGAGAAGTCAAGGTCAAATACTATAATGAAATATTTAAAAAAAACCTGGATTTAAAAAACCAAAAAGAAAGAATATGCTCAGCGTTTCTAAAGCTGGAAAAAAAACAAGAAAAAGTTCAAGCCTCGAATTGCAATATTGAAGGATTCTATAGGTAAAATATTGAATGATACTGAAAATATCAAAAGAAGATGGAAGGAATACACAGCGTCACTGTTCCAAAAAGAAATGGTCGATGTTCAGCTATTTCAGGAAGTAGTGTATTATCAAGAGTCAACGATACTGAAGGAAAAAGTACAAGCAGCACTGAAGGCATTGGCAAAGAACAAGGCTCCGGGAACTGATAAAATACAAATTGAAATCTTTCAACAAACTGGTGCAGCACTGGAGGCACTCACTCATCTATGTCAAAAAATTTGGAGGACAACTCCCTAGCCAACTGAATGGAAGAGATTCATGTTTGTGCCCATTCCAAAGAGATGGGACCCAATGGAATGTGGAAATCATCTTACAATATCATTAATGTCTCATGCAAGTAAAATTTTGTTGAAGATAATTATAAAATGACTGTAACAGTACATTGAAAGGGAACTGCCAGAGGTTCAAGCCAGGTTTAGATAACGACATGGAACAAGGGATATCGTCATTCCTGGTATGAGATGGATCTTGGTTCAAAGCAGAGAATACCAGAAAGATGTGTTATTGTTTTTGCTAAGTGCTGTCAAGTTGGTTCCGAGTCATAGCATAGGGTTTCCAAGAAGCAGCTGGTGAATTTGAACTGCTGACTCTTAGTGACCCTGCATAAGGTTTCCGAGGCTGTAAATCTGTATGGGAACAGAAAGCCTCATCTTTCTCCTGTGGAACAGCTGGTAGTTTCATACTGCTGACCTTGAGATGAGCAGCCCAAGTCATAACTATTAGGCTACCAGTGTTCCTTGAGTTAATGTGTAGAAAGGAAATATTAAAAGTACACGGACAGCCAGAAGAACAAACAGATATGTATTGGAAGAAGTACAGGCTCAATGCTCCTTCAAAGCCAGGATGGCATGACTTCATAGTCCAGGCGTATTATCAAGAGGGACCAGTCCCTGGAGAAGGAGGGTCATTGAAAAAGAGGAAGATTCCCAATGAGATGGATTGGCACAGTGGCAGCAGTGGGCTCAAGTGAAGAACAATTGTGATGATAGTGCAGCACTGGGGCAGTGTCTCACAGGAGGGTCACTGTGAGTCAGAACCAATGCAGTGCAACTAACTATAGGCCCCTCCAAATTTTTTTTTTTTATATATATCCAAAGCTTGGTTTTGGAGCCTAGTTCATTTTAGGCTTATTTATAAGTTTCACCTTAGTTTTAGAATGGCCATCTCATCAATATTCCTCAATAATTTTATTATGTGTAGCTTTTTTATGTTCTTAAATAAGCTGTCATTGGCCTGTACCTGCCCTTCTTGAACAAACATGAGTTATGGTTCTTAGTATCAATTTCTACTTGATTTTAAATTATGGGTTTACAAACATTTACTAAATTTCTTAGGAACTTAAAGAATTTGATGTCTAGTTTTGCGTTCTATTTTGATTTCTAATTAAGAATTCTAATTAAGAATTATTTATTTACAAGGAAGCAAAAGATTTGTGAATACAGTGCAAAAGTTTGAAATTTTCTTATTATTTATGTTTTGTCCTACCAGGATCATAGATTTTGAAGGGTTCTATCACTTTATTAACTCTGTTCCAGCCTGCTTCATTATCATGAGGTCTATGGTGTATCTATGTCAGAACTCAAAGTTGATCTCACCATCTCTCACTATGTACATAAATGTATATGAGTATATAGTCTTGTTGTTAAATGCCATCAAGTTGGTTTCAACCCATTGTGACCCTGTATAGGGTTTCTGAGGAGCGACTGGTGAGCTTGAACCACTGACCTTGCAGTTCAAACCAACTTTGCAGTCCAACGAATTAACCCACAGTACCACACCAAGACACCATAAATATATATAACCTTTTATTTAAGTATTTTTGCTTAAATGTTAATGACAGAAAAATTAACTGTGCTTTATATTTGGTTCTTATGTGTTTAGTAATGTTAAGATCTTTGAGAGTATACATCCAGAGACACATATTTTCTACAGTTTTTTTAATAGTATTGTCATTTTATGTTTACCTTTAATTGTGATTATTTTCACCTGGATAATTTACAGCCTCGGAAACCCTGTACAGGGTCGCTATGGGTCAGAACTGACTCGACGGCACTTAACAACAACAATAATATTAAATATAGTAATTTTTCTCCTTAAACAAATACTAGGATTGCAATCAGACAATGAAATTCTCAGGTCAGCTGTTGAACACCACAAAGTGCTCTTAGTCGAAAAGGATCGTGAATTAATCCGTAAAGTACAAGCTGCCAAGGAAGAAGGTTATCAAAAACTTGTGGCATTACAAGATGAAAAGTAAGTACTTGATTGTATTTTTTTATGTTAAATCTCTTTGCAGATGAAAGCATTTTGCTGTAGTACAGTCTTGTTTGTAGTTCTTGTAACATAATTACCATCTATTGTTTCAGACTAGAGCTTGAGAACAGATTAGCAGAACTGGAGAAAATGAAAGTGGAGCATGATGTCTGGAGGCAGTCTGAAAAGGATCAGTGTGAAGAGAAATTGCGGGCTTCACAGATGGCAGAAGAGTTGGCCAGAAGGGAACTTCAGAGTATTAGGTGATATGTGTTTATATATGTCTGTATATTTCAAACTTTTCATTTTGATGTAATGTCAAGATTACCAAAATGTTTTGTTGTAGTTATTGTTAAGTACTGTCGAGTTATTCTGACTCATATCGACTCTTTGCACCACAGAACAAAACACTGCCCAGTCCTGCACCATCCCCACAGTTAATTGTTAGATTTGAGCACATTGCTGTCAACTGTGCCAATCCATCTCACTGGGGCTCTTCCTTTTTCACTGACCCTGTTCTTTACCACGCATGATGTCCTTAAAAGGATTGGTCCCTCTTGATAACATGTCTAAAGTATGAAAGACGAAGTCTTGTCATACTGGCTTCAAAGGAGCACTCTGACTGTATTTCTTCCCACAGAGGTTTGTTTGTTCTACTGGCAGTGTGTGGTACTTTTAATATTCTTGTCCAGTACCATAATTGAAATGCATTGATTATTCTCCAGTCTTGCTTATTCATTGCCCAACTTTCACATGTATGTGATAGAATTCAAAATACCGTGGCATGGGTCAGGCACACATTAGTCCTCAAATTAATATTTTTGTTCTGAAATACTCTAAAAACATCTTGTACAGCAGATTTCCCTAAGGAAATATGCTGTTTGACTTCTTGTCTGCTGCTTCCATGAGTGTTGATAGTGGATCCAACCAAAGTGAAGTCTGACAACAGTTAATTCCTGGAGCCTTGTTTTTTGCCAGTGCCTTCAGTGCAGTTTCATTTTTTTCCTTCAATACCGTAGGTTCTTCGTCATATACTACCTCCTGAAATGGTTGAGCATCGACCAGTTCTTTATGGTACAGTGACTCTGTATTCCTTCCATCTTCTTTTGATGCTTCCTATGTTTTTCAATATTTTGTCCATAGAATTCTTCAATATTGTAAGTCAGGGCTTGCACTTTTTTTTCAGTTCTTTCAGCTGGAGAAATGCTAAGCATGTTCTTCCCTTTTGGTTTTCTAACTCTAGACCTTTGTACATTTCGTTAAAATGTTTGACTTTGTTTTCTCAAGCTGCCCTTTGAAATGTTCTGTTTAGCTCTTTCACCTTCTCATTTCTTCCGTTTGCTTTAGCTTCTCTATGTTCAAGATCAAATTTGACAGTCTCTTCTGACATCCATTTTGGTTTCTTCTTTTTTTCCTGTCTTTTAAATTACCTTTTGCTTTCTTCTTGTCTGATGTTCTTGATGCCATTCCATAAGTCTTCTCCTCTTTGGCCATTAGCATCAGATCTGTTCTTGAGATGGTTCAGGTGGGATATATTCAAGGGCATTTTTTTTTTTTTTTGGTTCTCTTGGAATTGTTTTGATTTTCTTCAGCTTCATCCTGAACTTGCATATGAGAAATTGATGTTCTGTTCCAGAGTTTGCCCCTGCGTCTGATGATACGAAGCTTTTCTGTCATATTCCCCATAAACACAATCAGTTTGATTCCTGTGTATTCCAACTAGCGAAGTCCATGTGTATAGACACCTTTGATGTTGTTTTAAAAAAGCATTTGCAATGAATAAGTCGTCTTGCACAATTCTATCGTGCTATATCCAGCATCATTTGTGTCACCAAGCCATATTTTCCAGCTAATTATCATCCTTTTTGTTTCCATTCTTTGCATTCCAATCACTAGTAATTATCATTGCATCTCTAGTGCATGTTTGGTCATTTTCAGACTGAAGCAGTAGGTAGAATTCTTCAATTTCATCATCACTGACTTAAGTGGTGGTGCATAAATTTGAATAATAGTAATACTAACTGAACTTCCTTGTAAACCCATGGATATTATCTTATCACTGACAATATTACTCTTCAAGAGAGATACTGAAATTTTTTTGTGTGATGAATGCCATGCCATTCCTCTTGAATTTGTCACCCCCAGCATAGTAAAACATAAGACTTTCTGGTTCAAAATGGCCAGTTAGCTTACTCAGGCCTTGGATGTCTATCTTTATGCATTCTATTTCATTTTTGACAATTCCAGTTTTCCTAGCTTCATACTTTGTATATTCTATATTCCAGTTATTAATGGATGTTTACAACTGTTTCTCCTCATTTGATTTGTACCCCCTCAACAAATGAAGGTACAGAAAGCTTTCCTCCTTTTATGTCATTATGGTGAAAATGGCAGTCATTTTCACAGAACAAGGGGATGCTGAATGGTTTAAAATAAGGAAATGTGTGTGCCTGGGTTCTAGCCTTTCACCATACTTAATAAATCTGTCTGTACCATACTTTATTCAATTACTCTTTCATGTTTGAATATTTAGTTAGCAATGTTTTGTGATAACAAACAAAACTGTAATGAATAATTTTGTATATACTATATATTTTCATGTTGCTGAAGGCATATACTTAGGATAATTTTCTGAAGTAAATAATGGATCTAAAGAAAATACATATGAAGTTTTCTTAGATATTGCCACATTCCCATCCAAGACAATTGTATCATTTTTTTTCCTTCCCACCAGTAATATAAGAGAGAATTCATGTTTCTCCACAACTTTGCCAATGGAGTATGTTGTCGTGCTATTTAATTTTTCTGATACGATAGGTGAGAAATTTATCTTATTATTAATGAGGGTAAACAGCTTTTCATTTATTTTAGGACCACTTTTATATCTTTCTGGTGAATTGTCTATTCATGTCTTTCCTTTTTTTAAAATAGAAGTTTTTATTGTGAATTGAGTGATAGTTTACATGGGAGAACATCGGTCGGTTTTACACTCATCATTTCATTGCAATGATTACATTCTCCTCTGTGCATCATCATTTTGCTTCTATTCTCTCTGGGGTTTTTTTGTTTTTTTGGGGGGTGGGTGGTGGAAGTGTACACAGAACCACTCAGAAATATATGATCAGTTAAACAATCAAAGGGCACATTCTGCAATGTGTCCTGGCCACCAGCAGACAATCTTTCTCTTTCCATGAGTCTAGAGTCCTCAGCTACTCTGTCTCTCCATGTCTTCATCTCTGCCTCCATCTCTGGTGTTGTTGCTGCTCTGGATATGGTCCTACTTTCTGCTTGTGCTCTTCTCCCTTGATGGTCCTAGGGTCCTCTGATTCTGGACTGTAAGATTAACTATTCCCCCATTTTTGTTTTAAAACTTCCACCTTCACAGTTGTGACATTTGCAGTTAGTTATGATAACAATTACTGTTGAATCGTAAGAGTCATATCCCCATCTCTTTTCACCAGACCTGTCTAAACAAGATGAAAACTATTCAGTGGGGATTCTGCCTTCTCCTCTGCACACTCTTAAACTAAACTCTCTCTTGAACGCTTGTAAGCTAGTCACTTCGTTCCTTTATAGCCCTCCCATTTTAGGTAGCCAATGTCTAATGCCTGTCCCTATCAACCCTGCATACAGAGGGGATAAGATTGATACATGGTGTGAAGACTCCTTCCCTCTCGGTTGGTATTTTGAGTTACTACCTCCATGAATATACGTCAAGTTCATCAAATTGTGGCAATTTACACTTGTTTTCTTGATCAAAAATTGTTTTTTATCTTCTTCTAGTCGAGTTCTGATCATCAAGCCATTGAGGGTGAGTCAAATGAATACTGTCTACAACTTTAGGCATTCTGTGCATCTCCCCTCACTTCATATCAGCTGGATGCTTCACTCTCAGCTTTAACCCTCCATGGCTGTGTCCTTGTCCATGGGCTCAGGAGGTGGACCAACCATCCCCTCCTCTTCTTTCTCTCATCCAGGTTGACGGGAGTCTATGGAATGTGGTTGAACTCAGCCCATTTCTTCATTGCTGCCTTTCCCCCTTTCCCACTCACCAACGTTGTCACCAGCAATCTTGCATGCCTGCTTATGTGTTCCCTTTGAGTTTTAGTCTTACAGGAGGGTTTGTCCTGAAGAGACTTCATCACTTGCCTTGATGGCTCCCCAGTGAACAACTTGGTTTTTTTTTTGTAGTAGCCAGTCAGACTGCCATTTTTGTTTTGGATTTTTCCTGCTGGTTCTTTCTTTCAAGAAGTATCTTCTGTTCCTCTAGCTGTTGCATGCTGGTCTGCTTGTCCTTTGAAGTGGGAATGTCCCACCTCAGTGTCTTTCCCTTTTTTATAAAGGTTTCTTTGGACCTTTTCTCCTTGATTTTTAAGAGTTCTTTGTGTTGTTGCTGATGTTAAACGCTGTTGAGTTGGTTCTGATGTATAGTGACACTGTTGTATAAGATTTCCAAGGAGCAGCAGATGGGTTTGACCCACCAACCTTGTGGTTAGCAGTCCAGTGCATATCTTACAGCACAACACCAGGAGTCCCGAGTTCTTTATCTATTATATATATTAGCCCCTTTTTCTTTGATTATGTTGCAGATATTTTCGCCATTTTGATAGTTGTTTTTTGAGTTCATGTTAGTTTTTTTATTTGTAAAGTATGTATTATGTAATCAATCTTGTATTGCCTCTGGAATTTTTAGGCATAGTCTTTTCCTGCAGTGACACTGAAGAGGAATTCATAATTGTTTTTGTTTTTGTGTGGCTTTGTTTTTTGCATTTGTATTCCTCATCCGTTTAGAGTGTGTTCTTGTGTATGCTGTTCCCTTGTTCGGTTTGAATAACTGCCTCCTGGTTTATGTACAATACCCTCATCAGCACAATTAAGTGATTTAAAATTAGGGAAGGTGTGCACCAGGGTTGTAGTCTTTCACCATTCTTATTCAGTCTGTTTACTGAGCATATAATTTGAAAAGCTGGAATTATATGAAAAGAAATGTTGCATTGGTGTGGAGGATGACTCATTAACAACCAGTGATATGCAGATAATACAACCTTGCTTGCTGAAAGTGAAGAGGACTCAAAATATTTGGTATGGGTTGCACCTCAGTGTAAAGAAAACGAAACTCCTCACAACTGCACTAATAAAGAATATCATAATAAATGAAGATTGAAGTTGTCAAAGACTTCTTTTTGCTTGGATCCGCAGTCAACACTCATGTATTTTTCTCTTCCATTTTGTTCTCTAACTGGTTAATGTTTGTTTATGTATGTTGATTTTTATCTTGCTAACTTGGTGAATTCTTTAATAGTTTTAGTTAGTTTTGTTTATGAATTGTCTAGGATTTTCCAGGTGTACTATCATATCATTTACAAATAGAGATAGTTTTACTTTTTCTGTACTTTTATTTTGCCTCTGATTAACTTACAAAATTGCATTGTCTAGTTATTCCAATATAATATTGAGCAATATTGAGCTAGAACTGGTGTTCAGTGTTCTGTATTTTTATTTTCGTGTTTTTGTAGAAAGAAGCCTTTATTAATAGCATCCATAAACGTTTGATATGCAGCAAATGCACACAACTGTGAGAGAGTGGTAGTGTAGCTAGAATTCTGTAATAAGAATGTGACTGGCACTGGTAATGGAGTAAGAGGTAGATCTGATCTGGCCCTCTGCTCTTAGTGCCATTGTTTCCGGCATTTGTATGTAGATATCTCAGAAAGTTATGGGGCCTTATTTTCGGTTTTCTTTCATATTTTTCAGTCATCTTACGCATTTAAATGTCGAATCCAGTATTTGGAGTGGTCCATTCACTCCACCAACAAATATTTATTAAATTTTATTGTTCAGAAAGCCCAGTTTTAGGTTCTGAGAGTATTGTAGTCCCTCAAACACATTCGAACTGGGCAGACAAGGCATGCTTATAATACCAAACGGTAAATAAGTGCCAAATGCATTATATTTAAGATAAGTGTTTGAGGAATGTTTCAAAAGAGGAGTTTGAGGAGCTGTTCCTGCCAAACCTAATTAATAAGAAGTTTTCCTCATGAGCTTAGCTGTTTGTTCTCCAGAGATGCTTTGCATTTGAAGGCTCTGGCTAAGGATGTATTATTCCCTTTCAAGAGGACACAAAGGTGTAAGTGTTCATTCATCTCAGGATGAAAAGCTCATAAAATACATTGCAGAATACCCTTTGATGTCCTGTACTACATTCTTTTCTTTTACATCCTGAATTTCAAATCAGTAAAAGTGCAGTATAATAATAAAGTGGGGCTGTGATACACTTCCTTGGGTATTAGAACACTCTGGTCTTATCTTAATTTGGGTGCTTGGTGTCTAAGTTATCTTGATCTGTAAACTTGTGATAAGATTACTCTGTCTTTTCACAGAATGATGAGGAATTAATACATGCAAATTGTTGTTGTTGTTAAGTGCCATGGAGTCAGTTCTGACTCATAGGAAATACTATGTAGGGTTTTCAAGGAGCAGCTGGTGAGTTATAACTGCTGAACCACAGACCTTATGGTTCACAGTCCAGTGCTGATCTTACAGTACCATGCCGTGGTAGGTTAAGGACACAAAGATGAGCATGCTGCCTGCATTAAAAAGCTCTTAGCATAGTAGAACGAAAATGAAGTAGCAGTGTGTATGAAATCATTTTGTAAGCTGAAAAATACTGTGTGGATATCAGATAGCCTTTTCTAAACCCAGCTACTTTCTGTTCCCTTTACAAAACTTCCTATATTTTTTACTGAATGTTAGTTAGGTTGTTCCTTATGTATGTCAAAATCTTACCCATCAGATTTTTATCTCTGTGTGTTGTTGTTGTTAAGTGCTGTCGAGTGGATTCCGACCCTGTATAGGGTTTCCAAGGAGCAGCTGGTGAGCTTGGACCACCGACTTTTGCAGTCTGGCACATTAACCCACAGCGCCACACCAGGACTCTTATCTCTAGGTTGTTAATCTCTTATCCCTTTAGCTAGGCTTGATTTGTCATCATCTACACATTCAGTAATTTGTGTTACATGATCGTTGTACATGAATACAACTTAGTTGCTTGAAGTCAGACTCTTTATCATTCTGTCTGTCACCCTGCATAGTTACAGTGCCTGGTGTCACAGAGGCATGCAGCACAATCAAATGGTTACCTGGTTCAGTGTGTTAACTGAATTATGTTGCTGTTTGTTGTTAGCTGCCTGGAGTCAATTCGGACTCATAGTGACCCAGTGTGCAACAGAATGCAATACTGCTTAGCTGTCTATCAAAGGTTGTTAATAATGAGTCTTCCTCCAATCATAATGCCACGTTTTTCTTCAAATAATCCAGTTTCTTGGGTTATGTGTTCAGCATACAGATTGGATAAGTATTGTGAAAGAATGCATCCTTGGCACACAGTGTTCCTGATTTTAAACCATTCATTATCCCCTGTTCAAACCATTGCCTCTTGGTCTATGTACAGGCCCCTCATGAGCACAACCAGGTGGTCTGTAGTACCCATTCTTCACAAGGATCCGTAGAGTTGAAAGTTTTGCATAGTCATTATGCAAAATGAATTATGGATTCTTAATTAAAACATCGTTTTTGTGTTGCCCTTTTTAGGTTGAAACTTCAACAACAATTTGTGAATATTGAAAATGCAGAGAAAGAAAAAAATGAAAATTCTGACCTAAAACAGGTATGATTTCAGCAAACATTTTGCTTTTACTTTAAAAATATCTTTGTTTGGATCTTTATTTGAATTTGTTGTCAATGCTCTGAAAATCTAACCACAATTGATAATGTGGTGATGAGGTTGATATGTTAAGATAAAATGTTTAAAGCCTCTTTCAGAATTAGTTTAATAAGCTTCTTTCACCAACTGTTGTTTTTCTTAAGATATTTGTATGCTATAGACTACGTAATTTTTTTTAAATTATAGTTTAAAGGATAGTATTTTGATATTCTTAGTTTGAAATATCAATTGATAAGGTCAAACAGGCTTTAATTACTGTGGGATTGATTTTTAGCCTTACATTTCTTATTCCATATGGTATATCTTACTATGCTGCTGGTGGTGGTTATGTGCTGTTATGAGTGGTTCCGACTCATAGTGACCTTATATAGGGTTTCCAAGGCTGTAACTCTTTACGGGGGTAGAAAAGCCTTATCTTTCTCTTGCAGAACAGCTGGTAGTTTCGAACTGCTGACTGTGAGATTAGCAGCCCGACTCGTAACCACTATGCTACCAGAGCTCCTTCTTTCTTAATATATCTCTATAATATGTAAGACTTGAAATTTTTAAAGGAAATTTTCTTTTATTAAAGTCATTTAGGTTTAGAGAAGATTTTTATAAGGTTTAGGGAAGATTTTTATAAGGTTCGGCAAAACATGTAAGAGTATTCTTTTGTGAATCGTATTGTCTTTTTTGCCTTTAAATTCTGAAGAAATGAGGATTCTGTTTTTAGGGTTTATGCTTACATGCTAGCTAGTACTGCTTCTGTATGTAGTTATGGTTTCTGAATCTTAACTAGGAAAATGCAGCGTTTGATGTCTGAGAGAAGTGATCTGGTAACACTGGCATTGGACTTTCTGCCATTGTGTCTATGTTGTTGCTGTTAAGTGCTGTCGAGTCAGTTCTGACTCACAGCGACCCTGTATAGTGTTTCTGAGGAGCATCTGGTGGGTTTAAACCACCACCTTGGAGTTCACATCAACCTTGCAATCCAGTGCTTATCCTTCAACCCCAGTATGAAGAGGTATTACAATCTTTGAAGGTTGCTTGTTCAGTCAGCTATAATACAAATTTATTATTTACAACTCCTGTTAAAAAATGAAGAATAAATAGTTCTACATGAAGACAGTCAATCTAAATTAGAAATCTGAGACAAACCATTTAACTTTACTCTGCTGACAATTGCTTTTTGGACATATATATAAAGTCCTGGGTTATTGCATTTGCAACCATCTAGACCTCTAAAGACTAAGATGCACCTGGCTCAAGTCATAATATTTTCTTTCTTTTTTTTATTGTGAATTGAGTGAAAGTTTGCAGGGCAGATCATCAGTTTTACATTCAACAAATCATACACTTTGTTTCATTACAATGATTATAATCCCCTCCATGTACCATCAGTTAACAGCACTTCTCTCCATTCATTTTAGCTCTTTTTTTTTTAAACACTCAGGCATATATAATAATTTACACCACCAAAGGGCATATTCTTTAAGCCTGCCTTGTGGCCTCTAGCTCTTAGTCCCTCTTTCCATGAATCTAGAGTCCTCGTCCTCACCTGCTTCCTCTCTCCAACTCCCCGTCTCTGCCTCCATCTCTGGTGAAGCCATAATATTTTCAGTCGCCTCATGTGCATGCAAAAACTGGACAGTGAATAAGGAAGACAGGAGAAGAATCATTGTATTTGAATTTGGTATTGGTGTTGGACTGGCTAAATGAATGGACAGATCTGCATTGGAAGTACAGCCGAAATGCTCCTTAGAAACAAGGATCTCTCATCTTCTGGGCATGTTATCTAGAAGGACCAGTCCCTGGAGAAGGACATCATGCTTGATAAAGTGGAGGGTAAGTGAAAAAGAGGAAGATCCCTAACGAAATGGAGTCACACAGTGGTAGCAACAATGGGCGCCAACGTAACAACAGTTGTGAGGATGGCACAGGACGGGACGGTGTTTCATTCTGCTTAATCATAAGGTCACTATGAGTGGGAAGAGATTCAATGACACCTAACAGTAACAACAGTGATTTCCCTTTCTTTATTTATTACATGGAGAGTCTGGTTTCTTTGGACCATCCAGTCTCACATGTGTTCTTTTGAATCTCTAGGTATCTTGATGTTTTTTGTTCCCAACTTCTTTCAGAAAGTTAAGAGTGATAAAAGAAAGCTAATGAAAAATGAGGACTTTTATTGCTTATTAATTTGTAAGATGGTTTCTGAGGAAGTAGGTGAAACTGCCAAATGAAGATTCTGACTCTAGCTTTCTAAAGTGGTGTGAATTTTTCTTGTTGTTCTGTAGCTAGTAATTAGCTACTACTTCTCACAAGAAAAGGTACTCTCAGAATGGAGAAAAAGCCTGAGTGACGTTACGTGGTTTGATAAATGACATCAAAGACCAGGGAATCCCTAGCATTTAATAGGTTTCTCAGAGCATCTTCTGCCCAACACTGGACATAAGGAATGCTAGGAAATCTCTTACAACTATGTAACTATCATCCTTCTTGTACTCATAACGATCCCTGGCTACTGAGAAAACAGAACTCCTGGAGGGGGTGCTGATCACAGGGTATTGTGGAAATGGGAGAACAGATTGCTTTAGGAGCTTTTCCAGCTGACCTGCTGTTAGAGCCTGTTCATTCCTGTGAGGACAGGGGAAGTCAGACAGAAACTCACTCTAATATTTGACTTCTCTTTTCTTACCTCCCTGTTTTACTAATCCTTCTCTGCACTACCAGTACTACCTCTTCTTTTATTTATTTTAAGTATTTATTGTGAATTATATGATAGTTTACATGGGGGAACATTAGCTTTACATTCATCCTATCATATTTTGTTTCATTGCAATGATTACAATCCCCGCTATGCATCAGACGACGAAAGGTTACACCCTGAAAGCCTGCCTTTCAGCCATCAACATACAGACCCACTCCCTCTCCGGGTCTAGTGTCCCCAGCTGCTCCATCTCTTCACATCATCAACTCTGTCTCCATCTCTGGTGTCACTGTTTCTCTGG